AGCAGCAGTTCCTACTATTGCTCCTGATAGGTAGGCTGATTCAGATCCGATTGTACTACCAGCAACTGTGATAGAGCTAAGATTACCCAAAGACGTCACATGCGGTTGACTCGCTGTTTGAACAGTTCCAGTCAGTGTCGCGGCAGTGACGCCATTTGTCACACTTAATGTTGAAAGAGTACCAAGTGAAGTGATGCCCGGTTGCGCTTCTGCGGATAGTGTACCAGCTAGCGAAGTAGCTGATAACGCATTGATGCCACTAATAGACTTAGTGTTATCCAGTACCATTACATGTACAGTCAAACTTATCAGAGTACCAATGGAAGTAATACTAGGTTGTGCTGCAGTAGATAGAGTATCAATAAGAGTGGTTGCGCTAAGAGAGTTAATGTTTGAAATGTTGCGATTCGAATCAAGAATAAAACTTTATTAGGGGCAGCATCGCCTGGAGTCGCATTACTAGCATTAAGTTGAGTAGATGTGGCTGTCACTAAGACGCCACCTAGCATGAGACCAGTGGTTGATCCATTACGATTGGGGATGTCAAGGTTCTTCGTAATAGATACCTTACTTCCTGTTCTGTACAGAGCAATGGTGAAGTCTCCAGTACTTGATACATTTGCTTTGTCGCGAAACCCAGGTATTTCCAAAGAGGAAAGTTTATTAATGAGAGAAACTAATGTTGATAGGCACTGCGGCAGGCTCCCCACGCTCCCATTGGTGTCATCGAAGCTCGGCATCGTCGCACTGGACTTCAACAGAGTCCGAGCTTGATCGCTTGCCGTAATCCGGTGACAGTGGGAAGTTATCATCGCTAGTGCTACATAATGTTTAAGGAGTCACTAATCTACAGTTGTTTATATAGTGTTTGTGGCTTTGAGTGGGAAATCTATGAAGTACGAGGTTACGGAGTACGAGGGTGTGATAACCATGAGAATGGGCACAGACAGACCCAAAAGAGAGTAATCAAAAATAGGTACCATTACAGAATGAGCAATTCCAAAATAGTCGTTCTAAATTTGGTCCAGGACATTCAACTTTTAAAATAGCCACTGCTACCACTTACTTAAGCAACATCATTTCGCTATTATGGTACAACCTGCAACTGCATCACCTCACTTCAGCATACCACCACTCCCCGATCGCGTTCTCGACTCATACCAAGAAGCCGGTCTCCATCCTTGGAATCGAGATTAAATTACTGATGTTCTCAAAAGCTACAGCAAGAAAAACAAATTTAACGAAGATTGGCAGCAAGGTTTTAAGTGTGACAAACATGGTTGCACCCAGAACAATCGTTAACTACGTGAGGAGGGCCGCGTTCGTCTACAGCGCGGAACAAGTAAAACGGGGTGTACAATGAAAATTTACCTTGAAGAAGTGGACAAAAATGAGAGTATAGGAACGTGGAAATGTGTCCACTTCGATCGGTCCGAATATCACAATCATCCTGCGTCAGAAAACCCAACCATTCACCCGGAGCATCGACGCCGTGATAGGGAGCAACTGGTGTCGAGAGACCTTACTACCAAAGATTTAATAGCATCCCCAAGTGCGGTTGGAAATTCTCCGGCGGTAGTGGTTGCTACATTTCGACAAGCTCACCCAGAAACATCTATTACAGCAAAGGATATCGCGAACCACAAAGACTCGGATCGGCGAGCTGCCTTGGTTCATGATACTCCAACAGAGCTGCTCTTGAAGGAGTTGACTAGTCGCAATATCTTTTCAAGTACGAGTTACATCTAGAGACTTCAAGGTTGCTTTACCTCACTTGGTCGCATCTTACCCGGTGTGGCCATACCGAAAACGGCGAAGTAAGAATTTTAGATCCAGCGCCACGGGCAGCCAAAAGCCAGCAACGAGCAGGAAAAAACATAAGATCAATCACAGAATTTCAGGTACTGCACAGGAACCTACATATTCTGAACGAGTCGACAGAAACAACCCGCTCCAACGCCAAACTTGAATTTTAATCTTATAGAGCTGCTCGTCACTAGTATGACCCCTGTCCGTACCGCTCCACTTCTTACCCAACAATTTTCGTCTCTCACAACAATGCTGACTCAAAACTCGAACATCAACGCGCAACCGGACAACACCTTTGACCAACCATTTCTTCAAACTACCAACCTCGGTCTGATCTACTCTATCGAGCAAATTCCAGGCGAACAGAATGTCTGGGCTGACATCGTGTCTCGTTGGCGCTCTCCCGAACCCGTATGTGCCGCCGTTGTTCGCACTCGACGTGGAACAGCTCGTCC